CTGTACCACAGCAGCAACGAAACGTCGGGTCAACACGGAGTGGCACTTGCTTGAAATCATCAGGCTACTAGCGCTTTACTTTCCTAGAAAACAATATCCTCTAGGATTGCAGTAGCCCGATTCAGGGGTCACCCAGTAAACCTCACAGTTATCGCCCTGACTCTTCCATCTGACAACAACGTCAAGCAGCCTTCAATTGCTTGTTAATGAAATACCCAAACCGAATGTACTTGTCATGGCAGGGGACTGGAACGCTTGAACGGGTCCACAAACAGAGGCCACGAAGCACATCACAGAGAGGTTTGGCCTGAGCCAGCGCTGCGAGAAAGGCCTCAGACTGCTCAGCTTTGCCGATTATTATCGATTGTGCATTGCCAACACGCGATTTCAACATCCAAAAAACATCTTCTAACGTGGTGTTCTAACGACGGCCGAACGGCACATCAAATAGATTACGTTCTCGTTCGTTCACGACGGGTTTCTTCTATTGAAGACTGTCGTTCCTATCGCGGGGCTGAATGCAGGAACCAAAGCGGATCTGATCACGTACTGGTTCGCACGAAAGTTAGACTCCATCTAACAACTCGCAGGAAGTCCGTCCCCTCAAAAGGCCTAGATGTGCTTCCACTGGAGAACAGCGAAAAATGCCAGACACTAATGGACATGATAACTGCACAGCTGTCAAACGAATCTCTCAGTACACAAGGTACACAAGGTAACACAGGGAGCTCGGTTGAAACTCAGTGGACCAGGATAAAGTTATCGTAACATCAAGCTGCCCTACACGCACTAGGCACCAGACCACGTCGTCCGAAAGACTGGAAATCTAGTCACAACATCCAGTTAGCTAATGCGGCCAGAGAGGCCCGTCCAGCTCAATTCTCTGATCATCGCGATCCCAGGTGACAAGCAATAAGATCAGCCAGAAACGACAGATGCAACTACTGGAATGAAATGGTTACTAAAATGGAGACAGCAGCCAACCTGGGCAACAGAGCGACCCTCTTCCGTCTTAGTCGATCAGCATCGGGTAAGAATCAGGTCACCCACTCTGTGCTGCGCAGCGCCTCCGGTGAGCTCATCCCCGATGCGCAGGGGAAAATGTCTCGGTGGGTGGAACACTTTAGTCTTCTTCTCAACCGCGCTCAAATCCAACTTCCGTGTGCGCCCTCATCGTCATCTTCTCTATACAAAGTTAACTGCGCTCCGCTATGAGTAGAAGAAGTCTCAGATATCATTAATAATCTGAAACCACTGAAATCTCCCGGTGAAGACGAGATACCCTTCGAAATCTACGCGAAGTGTTCTTTAGCCATTTTAAACTCTCTTCATAGCTTACTGTGCATAATCTGGGAAACCAAAATTTGCCCAATTGACAGAACCACATCGATTTTACTACCCTTACCCAAAAAGGATGACAAATCAGTGTGCGCAAACTATAGAGGCATCAGCTTACTGGACCTGGCCGCCAACTTTTGCTGAACCGCTTTGCTGCAGCAAGATATGGACACACTCGCCCTAACCAGAAAGGATTCCGCCTCGGTGTGGGCTGCGTTGATCAAATATTCACTCTACATCGACTCTTGGAACATCATCACAATCTTCGACAACCTACAACAGTCTGCTTCACTGGTTTTCGTGCGGCATTCGACTCCGTAGATCGCGAATCCCTCTGGAACATAGTTCTGGCCGATGGTGTCTCCGTCAAACTTTTCAACCTAATGAGGTACTACTATTCTAACACTTGCGCCCGAATTCGTGTCTACGGAGAGGAATCTTGCCCGTTCGGGTTAGGATCTGGAGTGCGACAGGGGTGCCCGTTGTCCCCAGTGCTGTTCAACTTTGCCGTGGACTGGATAATGCGTCGTTTGATGGACGAATACCAGAGAGTTCAGATCTCTCCGAACTTATGGCCCACAGACTTAGAATTCGCGGATTATATTGTCGTCTGTGGCGAGGATATGTCTAACCTCCAATTAAATGTTTTATCGCATCAATCCACTGGCCTCCGAGATCGGCCTGTAGGTGAGCACATCGAAAACCAAAATCTTTACGACAGTCCCGATTCATCCCGAGAATGCTTTACTACTAAACGGTGAGCGGATCGAATCCATCGAAAGCTTCAAATATTTGGACTGAACCATTCTCCCTAACGGCCAAGCCAAAGATGAGGTGCAAAGGCGCGTCGACTCTGCAAGAAGGGCGTTTTTACAGTTGAAGA